TGCCGGCGTCTTCCTAATTTATCGATATCCAAGGTGTCCACCGATTCCAAAAAGTAGAAACTGTTTCTAATTTTAGCGATAGGACGCAGGTGGAAGAAGGCGATTATTGATTACAAGAACACAACTCTGACCACCAGACCAGGCACACGCCTTTATTTAGAATACAATTAAAATAAATCTGGCGTCATGGCCGTGCACATTTCATCGTCCACCTCAGCAGCTGCCACCACAAATATGACCGCATCGTGTGAGACACTTCAGAAACGACGACAGGCAGATTTAGACGTTTTTGAAAACTAGTATTAATCAAAATGTGGCTTTTGGACTCGGACATGTTCTCTGTAAAGGAGGAGCTGCCTGCGGGAGACAGGAGACAACTCTGGAGACAACTCTGGAGACACGCTGGACATGTCCACAACTCTGATGATTACAAGACTGTGGCTCACCCCAGGATGCTGAGATGTCTGCAGACATTCAAGGACATGTTCTGGAGACATTCAAGAGACATTCTGGAGACATTCAAGGACATGTTCTGGAGACATTCAAGAGACATTCTGGAGACTTCACCGGCTTTTTGACACCCAGTGAATCAGAATCTTAAAATCCTGCAAGAGATATTTTTTCTGTGATCTTGATCATTAAAACTTAAAAAAAGACAAAATCTTCTGCTTTCAGACACAACTACTATCAGTTTTAGACAAAAGAAACTTTCAACTTCAACACGATATTTAATGTACCCCCCCCCCCCCCACACACACACACACACAGATGTGAAATGTACCCTCCTCCTCCTCCTCTTCTTCTCACGCTCACCTTCATCTCAGACGGTTCTGATCCAAAACAAGCTGGGAAACCTGAGAGGAGGTCAGAGGTCACAGACGGTGATGAAGTGATGACAGGTGTGTGTTCTTCATCCTCCCTCCTCTTCGTCTGTGTCTCAGTTTAACGCCCGTTCTGCTCGTCTGAGCCGCTTCACTGTGCAAAAGTCCTGATCCGCTGTTAGTGTTCCTGATCAAGGGTTCTCCAGATGTTCTGTCAAAAGGTTCTAAATCAAAAGTTCTCCAGACTTTCCGTAGTGTTCTTGATCAACAGTTCTCCAGACTTGGTTAAAATTTTCCTGATCAAGAGTTCTCCAGATGTTCTGTCAAAAGGTTCTAAATCAAAAGTTCTCCAGACTTTTTGTAAAGTGTTCTTGATCAACAGTTCTCTAGACTTTGCTAAAATGCTCCTGATCAAGTGTTCTACAGATGTTCTGCTCCTGATAAAGGGTTCTCCAGATGTTCTGTTAGTGTTCCTGATCAACCGTTCTCCAGATGTTCTGTCAAAGGGTTCCATATCAAAAGTTCTCCAGACGTTCTTTTTAAGTTCTAGATCAAGAGTTTCAGGTCTCTCTTGTAAATGAGTCCTCGAGGCTCAGTGGGATTAACTAAATAAAGGTTGAATGAATGAAAAAGTGTTCCAGATCAAGGGTTCTCCAGACTTTCTGTTAGTGTTCTAGATCAAGGGTTTCTACAGAACGTTTTTAACTGTTCCAAAATGAATTGTTCTACTGGTCTTCTATAAACTGATGATGTGTTCTGGACCAGTAGTCTTCCAGATTTTCTGTAGTTTGTTGGAGTGTTCTGTGTGAACGGTTCTCCCTCCTCTAGTTTTAAAAGTGTTCCCGATCAAGAGTTCTCCTGACATTCTAAGTGTTCCAGATTATGTTATTCTATTATTATTAATCAATTATTTTATATGGAGAAAGAAAAACTCGGTGAGATTAAAAATCTAATTGACAAGAGCGCCCTGCCCAATGCGACTGGTAACAAAACTCAGTTTCATAAAACAAACTAACAATAATAACATTGAACATTGATATAAACAGCAACAAACCAAAAAGCTTAATAACAATAAAACGTAACACTGAAATTTAAAATAAACTGTTAACAGGTGCCTCGGTACGTACCCAACATATAACTGTTGTCAGATAAAAAAAAACTGATGTCTGTTTCTTAAAAACTTTTAAAACGTTCAACAAAACCTTCATTTTTAGACTAGATTGAAGTCGATGCCCGGCGGACGGGACAGCAAACTGAAATGACGTTTCCCCTTTTTCCATCCGGACTTTAGGTTCAGACCTGGGAGCGAAGTGAATAACTTCCAGTCCGTTTGTGATTCATCTGAAGGGAGCACCTAGCACATCCTTTATGGTGGATGGTCCTCCTGGAGGACCACCCCACCCGGGCAACAGTCAGAGATGCGTCAAGGTTTTAGGTTTAGTAATAAAAGCTAGACCTCCAGGGTAAACAGAGTCCAGCACCTGTAAACACTGAGATGACGCACGGTGTATCAAACGATCACCATTATCTAGAACCAACATAAACGTAGCAGCAACAAGTTGTATTTTTGCTTTGAATGAAAGGCAAGTTCTGATTCTGAAATAAAAACCTCGTTTTAACCCGAGTCAACTTGATATCAAATACGTGGAGCATCAAGAATAAAACCAAGTATCGACACTGAGAAACCTGTTCAACAGAAGTGCATTAGCTGCTTGGAAATCAGATGCCTCTTAGAGTTAGAGAACATCATCTTCTTGGTTTTATCTGCATTTAAAACACGTTCTCGGCTTTTTAAATTGCTCTGGACCATGTTGAAGGCTGATTGTAGAAGACTGAGTGCTTTGCTTGGTGTTGAAGCAACACAATCAGCGTCATCGTAAAAAAATGGAGCGTTGCATGTGGCACATTATAATCCAGTTAACATAAATAATAAATTGTAAGGACCCCAAAACCGATCCTTGAGGCACCCCTTTAGTTATTTTGAATGAGGCGGAGGCTATATGTTGAACAGACTGAGATCTGTTTGTCAATCACCTGATCATTGGATAGTGCCATGTTAAAGAGCCTTTGCATCATGATATGATCAACAGTGTCTGACAACAGTTCTCTAGAGCTTTTTGTAAAGTGTCCCAGATCAACAGTTTTTCAGACTTTCTGAAATCTAAAGTGTATCTAGGTTTTTCAGACTCCCTGTAGTTTATTGAAGTGTTTGTTCTTGATGAACGGTTCTATTTCTTAATAGCTTTCAGAAAATTCTTTGGACTTTGGCTACTTTAAAAAAAAAATTGAAGTGCTCAGCTGGTAGAGCTGTTGCCTATTTACCTATTTATAATTTTTTTAGTGTTTAAAATATATTTTCTGGACCGAAGAGCATATCTTACAACAATTTGCGATGTGTGGTAATCCACAGTTTGTCTGAAGCTGAGTTTAGATGAAAAGTTGATGTGTTAATTTAAGTCTCATAGGCACGATCCAAAATAAAAACGTGTACTGAAGAAAGCTTGAAGCAGTTCTTGCCCAGCACCAAATGGGCTCGTAAATCAACAGCTGAGAAAATCAAATGAACACCAAATTAAAAATTTCACAAATCAACATTTGATTTCACCTCCTGAATATTGTAGTCTCTGGATCTGCACATGAGATTAGAGGAACAAGCTTGAGGAAGTGACTTCATCTCAACACGGAACAGAGGACAAAAAATTCAGACCAAAATTCTTCAAACATTTTTTTTTCTTCCACAGAATCTCTATTTTTGTTGAACAAGTTTGATTGTTTTACAAAGTTAATGAACAGAGACAAAAGTCACAAAACAGAGAAAAATGTTTTCTGATTCACTTAAAAAATATATATATATATTTCTTAATTCTGACTAAAACATTAAACTCATGAAAATGAACAATTATACTCTTTGATAAATACAAAGTTATGTACAAAAAGCAAAATTAAATAAGAAAAGTGTCCTCTGGAGTATATGTACACATTGCATTGTTTTCTTAAATTAATGACGATGGCAGAAGACACGACCACAAAGGAGTGACAGACTTTTGGTATCAAAAAACATATTTTTTCAAAAACAGGACAATAAAAATATCTTTGGAGACCAGCACTGTAATAAAGATATAATATTTCTTGGAATATAAAAAAATATATAACTTATGACTCAACTTACAACAGCAGAAGGTTCGTATTGTGTCGCTGTTCATCTGATTTTTTTTTGTAAACAGAAAAAAAATCCAACAAGAAAAAAAAGTTTTGTTTTTATCTAATGACAATATTACTCTACAGCCTACAACACGTTTATCAAAAAAACAATTAAAAACATAAAAATAAATCAAAAATAAGTCCCTGACAGAGAATTTTTTGAACATTTTAAAGTTATTTACACGTCAGATTTTCTGTTCACCAGTGAAGGACTGTAAATCAGCAACTCAGTCTGATTGGATTAAAATCTGAATAAAAGCTGAGAAATAAAGAAACAAAGTTCAGGACTGGAAAAAAAAAAAAAATTAAAATAATGTACAAGGAACATTCAGGTTTGGTTGATTCAGTGGGATTCTGTCTCTGTGCTACAAAAGATAAAACAAATTTGACCTGTTTTGAACGCTGCAGCGCTGGAATGTTTTTTATTCTTTTAATCATTTTCGGAGTGATTGTAATAATGACAGATTCTTTCAACAGGCCACGAGGTTAGTATCATTTTTTTAAAGGAAAAATTTCTGGCTCAATACTGAAAAGTTATAAACAGACTGATCAGTTGTGGCTAAGTTCTGGTGGTTTGACTTAATTAAAATGGATTCATTTCCTGTTAATGTCAGAAGGTTTTGTGATGATTTGACAGGGACCCAAACGTAAAACTCTACACATAAAACGTGATGGGATGATTATGAAGCTCAGTTAAGGCACCAGAATTTTTTGATCAGTTTCAAACTTTTGTTCTTATTAAATTCGTTGAACAGATGATCAGAAAATTATTTTAAATTGTAAAGTATAAAACATAAACAGTGCAAATGATGCGGGACATTCAGTTTCTTCTCTCTTATTTTCATCTGAACATTGTCGCTATCAAAACAAAATACGTTATTTGTTTATTGTTTCTCTCCACTGAGCAGCAGTAATAAATATTAAATAAAAACGTGTGTAGAATCAATCCACTGGGTGCACTGTCCTGGAAACAAGAGTTTCAGGCCTTCCAGCGTGAAGCATCCTCTGCTGGCAATCTGAAAACTCTCGGTTATACCTGGCAACGACACAAAAACAACAGTTAGTCATCAGCATATACGATTACTTCAGGTTCACTGAAAGATAGTCGCTGATATTTAAGATGCTGCAGCTTCACATGTCTAAATCAGATTAAATATATATATATATATGTCCTAGAGAACATATGTGCTTTAGCAAATTTTAGCAAGTGTTTGTGCACTTCTTTATTTTGTTTGTTGAAGCACTTTGTGATTTTTATCTTGAGAAGCGCTATTTAAATAAAGTTATACTTACTTACTTAAGTATTTTGCTTTTTGTGCTTTTTACCATAATATTATTGCCATAGTTTTTTGTATGGCTGTGAGTATTGATTTAACATAGTTGTCATACAGTCCAAAAAAGTTCAATCTGGTCCTCTGGACATTCAAAATTTTGAATGTCCAGAGGACCAGATTGAACTTTTTTGGATTTTTCTACCTGGATTATTGAGCATGCATCAGGATATGTTGTCATACAGTGTTTTTGATGTTGAGAGTATTGCCATTTAAACAGAACAAAGATTTTAAAGGCGCCAATTACCGATACATAAACTTTTTATGGAATTCCAATGTTAGGTTTTATGCTAAGCGCTAGCCACTTCGTCAGATCATTTGTGTATGCAAATGGATGTCTGTATTCATGATAATAGGTGTGAAACACAATTTGTAAAATTGTGTTTTTGTTCTTGTATTTCTAATTTACAGTGATCTTTTATTTTTTTTTCTCTCTTTCGGTTGCTCCCTTCGTCAGGGGTCACCACAGTCGCATGGAGACTATTTTACAGTGATACCTCAGATAAATGCTATAAATGTATCAGCTGCCTCCTGGGTGTTTATTTGGGAATATGTTTAACTGTCTGCCAAACTAAAAGCCACATCACATAGTGAGGGCAGAATACATTATTAACCGTGTTTTACGCTACATTATGTACTACTTTTTCATATCTTTTGAAACCAGGTTATTATCAGTAGTATTTCATCCTCAAATACCGTTTACACAATATACATTTCATATGTTTAACTTATACTTGCAGTAAGAAATTTCAATTTACTCGCTGTGAATGTCGGATTATTTTTAATGAATAATTTTAACCATTTGTTTTTAGGGAGGATGACTTGCTGTGGTGACTCACACAGCTAAAATAAAATGACAAATAATAATATTAAAATATAAAACTTCAATAATTTTGTTTTGAATGTATTGTGGATTGTCTATAACCCACAATGGGTCAAAAGTATACATACAGACTTTGATATGAGCAGAGTGGTTTTCGTCCTGGTTGTGGAACAGTGGACCAGATCTTCACTCTTGCAGACTTGCTAAGGGGGTCATGGTAGTTTGACTCTTCGGTCTACATGTGTTTTGTGGACCTGGAGGAGGCTTATGACCGTGTTCCTCAACACAGGAGCTGTGTCCACAATCTTGGCACAAAGTTCAGCTTGTTCTCAGTGAGAGGTGTACACCTCCAGGGCTGTCCTTTGTCTTTGACCTTGTTTCTGGTGTTCAAGGACAGGATTTCAAGGTACAGTTGGGGAGAGGATTGTGCATGGTTTGGGAACATCAGGGTCTCATCTCTGCTTTATATGGATAATATGCGATTCTGTTGGTGTCTTCACCCCGTAAAGTGGACAAATATTAGCCAGAATCCTGTCAGAAGATTTTGATGGACCCCCAAAGCCTAAAGTCCAGGTGACTTTTAAGGTGACATTAACTGGACAAGTGAAGACCAAAGTCCACTGTCTAAGAAGACAAATATAGACAAAAATCCACAATCTAACAGGGCAAGAATAGACACAAGTCCACTATCTAACAGATAGTTTAGTCAGTCACATACATGAAGGGATGATTTAGGGGGAAACTGCTCCATTGTAGGTTCTAGAAAGAAAAAAATCTGAGACCTCCTTCTCTGTTTAAAGTTGTTTTTTTCTCATCTGACATAAATGTCTTCCTTCACCCCCTCTTAAACCACCTGTCTTCTCTGTCCAAACACGAACATTTTGGTCCTCAGCAGAGTGTCCCTTAGGTGGACCAGTGAGTCTTGTCCTGAAGAGCAGCTCTCCTGTGTTGAGCCATGCGCCTGTGGAGAGGTCTGAACATTCCTGCAGACACCACGCCGCTCAGTTTGGGTATGGGGACTCTTTCCTCAGGATGGACCTGCTAGGTCTGAGTCCTGCTAGGTTTGAAATGCACCAGATTGCTGTATTTGAATACAATCCTTTGTAGTGGTTCAGATTCTCCAGCAACATGTGGGAAGACAATGTTTTTGTGAAACTGTCCAGATGACCCGACTGAAAAATGTTGGATTGTATACCTGGATTATTGAGCATGGACTTTGTTGTTTTCAACCAGTTTGACAAGACTGTCAACAAGGAAGAGGGCTGGCAATGGAGGAGGGGGCGTACCAAAGAGACCATCTTATCACAAGCAGAACTGGTTTGTTCCACTTTGGAGTAAGCTGTTGGAGGAAGAATCAGTTTTGTTGTGTGTTTCCCTGACTGATGAAGCCTTCTGGATCGAAGGCGAAACGTTTCAGCACAAACAAACAAACAAACAAAAAAAAGAAACTGTCCAAATGACCCGACTGAAAAATGTTGGACAATGTTTTTGTGTTTGCTGTTTTTCCTACCTGGTCCGTTTTGTGACAAGTTTTTTAGATTTCCTTGCTGACTTCACAAAAGTCCAGATTTGACAAAGACTTGCATTGTATTATAGAAAGGTACAAGTTAATATAATGAAAAAATAAGAGCTTCAGAAATTTGAGCTCTTGAAAATGTAGAAGTATAAACGATGCAAAATGTTGTCAATACTTCACAATACTTTCACTTATTTAGCATTTTGCATCCTTTATACTTCAAAAATTTCAAGAGCTCAAATTTCTGAAGTTCTGGTGTTCAGATCTTATAAAAACAAAAATCGACTTTAAAGTTTAAAACTTTAAAGTTTTAAAGTTAAAGTCGACTTCAGAGTTTTATACTTTTAAATATCCAGATCCTTGCTACTGCTTCCATCCACCAAATTCTTTAAATTTTGAATCGGGTTGTGTTTTACGAGGCGGACACATTTTCTTCTCTCACCTGTTTTCCTCCTGCTTTTTTTCTCGCTCTCTGTGTATCGGAGCTCCTATTTTACACATATTCCGAAATGAAAACTATTGTTATGGATCTGACCAACTGGACTTTCGACGCAATCGACAAAATCTTTTCAACAAAGCGACAGGGTCCTGGAGAGCCCTCATTTTCCACTGAGAATCTCAGGAGGACGCCGAAGACATATACAATCAGATTTATGATAACAGGTTTCCTGCATTTTGGAATCGGCTGGTTCCTGGTCTATCAACATACAAAGACGGATGCAGCTAATTTGGCCCTTGTCAGACTGTCTGCTTGTGAAGGTTTGGTTCGTGCTCTGAGGACTCAAAATCAGCTGATTTATGAGCTAAACCGTAAGATGGAAGTGACTGGTGAGAATCGCAGGCCACCTGCGGCTTTGAGACTCGCCAGCATGAAATGACCTTGGAGGGGCTCATACGCACGGAACAGTAGAATGCACCCTAATCTGGCCATTTCGGATCTTGAAAGTACCAGTCAGACTCAAGGCTGACAAGAAAAAATAGTCTGCCTGAAAAAATCAATTATGGCTTATCTAAATCTGACTCCCCTGGTAGGCCTCAAAAACAGGCCAACATATACATTTCATCTGGGAAATGTGTAATCTAAGGAAAAGCTTCATCTATCGCGGCCCCCCCCCCCCGCCCCCCCGCCCCCCCACCTCCCATGGAGGCTTATCAGAACTGTGCCGGTTGACCATAATTTTATTAGGACAATGGACTGTCTGGAAGTGTTTCATGGACCACCTTGTCATCAAATGCATATGTAACTGTTCATACTGTAAATGTGCTTGCTGGTAGAGTTTTTCTGATGTCTTAAACCGTGTCCTGATAGGACAAGGTGTGAAGAGATCTTTTTTGTAATGCCACTATCCTCTCCTCATGGCTGTGTCCCCTTTTCTATCTAAAAAAAAGTATTTTGAAAAGGATAAGAGGCCGAACTATCATAGCAGCAGCTACATGCTCTCCGCCCATCTTTCGGACGACCGTGTGGACGTATTCTCGCTGTATCTCGATACAATGATAATAAAGCTTGTTCAGATTCTGATTCATCCCTGTTGGATGATAAAAGTGGTGGTTAGACTCTCACCTCGGTGGCAAACACACACGGCTCCATCTGCTCTGGGATGATGAACACCGGATGATACAGATTGTCCTTTGCAAAACTGAGGGGAGGGATGATGATTGGTGAGTCACATTTCTTACTGTTCAAGCAGAAGAGACAGGGGTTGATTCAGCAGCAGCAACAACACAGTTTGAAAGGAAGACAGTCATGGAAAGAGAAAATCCAACCTCTCTCACATCTGACCTCAAGGGAACAAAAACAGATTCTACCAAGTCATTACTTACTAAACAAAAATCAAATGTTAAAGCTGTGAGAGAAAAACTGGGTCCAGCCTTGATGCTTCGGTGGATTAAAGAGGCTCAGTATCAGCAAGGAACTGATGATCGAATGTATTAATTAACTGCTCGTCATCAGCGGGACCACCTGTAGGAAAGCCGAAGTTTTAGCAGCCTGATTTCTTTGTGTTTGGACACCAGCCATCATGGACGCTGTAAACATAAAAAAGGAGGACATTTGGACTCGGTTGTACCTGAAGCAGCTGATGGATATGTGATGGTTAGCTAGATTGCAACTTTTGTGGTTGTGAAGGCAAAAAAATTACATCTGAGAAATTCAGTGAGGTCATGGAGAAGAACCTTTGGTGAGCCCCAAGGAGGTTCTGTCACACAATTTCACCAAGATTGGGGTATTGTCTGACAGTGGCTGTAGCACTTTGAGGATCTCTTCAATTGTGCTACTTGGTCTACCTTTGAGGATGCAGAGTCGGAGAATGCAGGAGAAAGTGCTAGTGCTTCCAAACTATGCCTATGGTCATGGAGTTTGGACCATGACAGCAAGAACCAGATCCTGGAGTCATGCTGCTGAAATGAGCTTCCTACAGAGTTGCCTAACTCAGCCTTAGAGGTAGGGTAAGAAGTGCCATCGTCTGAGGGAGCTTAGAATAAATCAGCTGTTTACCTCATCAAAACGCATCAGGTAAGAGGGTTCAGGCAGCAGGGTCAGGAAGCCTTCTGCATTTTTATCACTGGAGGTTTTTAAGGCATGTCTCACTGACAGGAGACCTTAGGGCAAACCCATAATTTGCTGGAGGGGATCTTATATTCTTGCTGCCCTGGGGACATTTTGAGTTGCCCCAGGAGGAGCAGGGGGGTGTTGTTGTGGAGTTGTGGAGAGGGATGTCGGAGTTTCCCTTTTGGGCTTGTTGCCTCCATGAGCCAAACATGGATAAGCAGAAGAAAGTAGCTAAAACTTTCCAAACTAAAATTGTGCTGCCATGTACATTTTAGAGAGAAGAAACTTTTTTTAAAATTTAATTCTAACAAGGTTAAGTCAGGTCCTCTGGATGGATTCTTTTTTTTGTTGAAACGTTTCCAAATTATCCAAAAGACTTCTTCAAGGATAAAAGACGAAAGGTTTCAACAAAGAAGAATCCGTCCACATGACTTGATTTAACCTTGTTAGATCTTTCTACCTGCATTATTGAGCTTGCATCAGGAGGACCTTTTTTATTAAATCTTTATTTAACCAGGGAGATCACAGATCTCTTTCTCAAGTGAGACCTGAGCCTGAAGGCAGTTAAACCTGCACGCTTTATTCTACAAACTTTCCCAAAGAACACGACAACTAAACTTTAACCTGCTAACTGAGACTAGTAGTTTCTAGTAAATTTGCTCCTCCAAGATCATTGCTGATGTCTTCCTATCCTATTTTATGTTAACACGTGTGTGTGTGTGCCTCAGGGCAACAAAAACTCCTTTTCTAGAGAAGGTCCCACTGATGATAATCAATCAATACATTTGATCAGCAGCTCCTGTGGCAGCAACAAAGGTTTTCACTCACAGCTTTAAATGTTTTTGTTCACTAGTGGTTAGATTTGGATCCTTTCAGAAACTGATCAGATCAGTTTTAGTATGTCCTGATATCTAACTGGAACTGAAAGAGGATAGATTATTTTTTTTAACCGTGAATGCATCTTGTGAAATGCAGAATAGGTTAGCTCAAAAAAGACAAAGATGCTTCTACTTGCCTTTGCAGGACAAAAACAGTGTGCTGTAAAAAGAAAAGAACAACACAGAAACACACAGATAACCATCAAACTACCACACTGTTATAGCCTTACGGGTCAAACTTGTTCTTTTCCAGGTGCTGCTCCTCTTTTGCTAGATTACAATCAGCCATTTTGTTTTTATACATGGACATGTTGCCATTGTTCTTCTCCACCAGAGCTGCACGCTTACTGAACATTTTATATTGACCTCCAGGAATAAGAAAGGCCTTTTTTTCCGTCAAGCTGCCTAGCGGGCCCCCCAGTAAGCTCTCATTGTTTGGCACTTCTCCACCGATCACAGCATTGCGGTTGTTCACTGTCTCCAAATCGTTCTTTACGGATCTGGAGATGGCTGCAAGCTTCCTGCCCTGGTGGAGCTGACGAAGAATGTGGATGCTGGCACACACCAGCAGCGTCAGAGTCACCAAACCAAGGATGATGGCAGCAATCAGTGAAGGAGAGACATCGTTTGGTGGAGGTTTAGGTGTGGAATTGATGTAGGGGTATTCGCAGAGTGCACCAGTGAAACCTGGAGGACACTGGCACACAGGGCCAGTGAAGTGAGTGTAACATGTGCCGCCGTTGTTGCAAGGAAAGTGGTTGCAGGGGCTGCTGCGTACAGAGCAGTCCTTGCTGGAGAAACCCAGAGTACATGTGCAGATAAAGTCATTGATGCCATCCATGCAGGTGCCGGCATTGCGGCAGGGGTTACTGGCACAGTCGTCAATGTTAGTCTCACATCGAGCACCTTTGAAGCCTGGCCGACAGTAGCACATGACCTGTTTGCCAAGATCCAGACACTGGGCACCTGCAAATGGGAGGAGACGGGTGTTAGGTTGCATCATACATCTGGAATTCAAATATAGGACCCCTGAGGGACAGATGAAAAAAATGACTGGAATTGGACACTGACATAACCGTGGTTATGGTGAAATAACTGACTGCAACCCTTATTGTATTTTTACAAGTCTTTTTAAGACGCTGTTAGAAAACGTTAAAGATGGTAGAACAGCACTGTAAGTAAAGTATGAGGACTGAAAATACAGATGTTTATAAAACATTTAATGACAGGTCCATTCATTTGTTTACATCTGTTCTTATCACGCATCAGATTGGTAAATAAATATTACCTGGACGATGGTAACTATGACCTTTATTTAACCAGAAATTTACTTGAGATTAGCATCTCTTTTGCAAATAAGACCTGGTTAAAAAGGAACATCATCACAAAATTACCAGCTAAATATTAAAAATGATATCAAAACATCTTAAATTGAACAAATGAATCAACAAAAGACGAGAACAAGTACAAAGTTTGTCCTTACTACAGTTCTGACTTTTTATTGTTATTTTAAACTGTGGAACGCTTGCTGCCGGGTGATATGCATTTCTTCAAAGGCTGCTACCTTTAATAACATGATGCTCTCAAAGTCCTCTGCTATAACAGATAAATCTTGTATAAAATGTACATTGAACTAAGTCTAAACTATTAAGCCTTAAATCATCCAGATGAAAACAGGAAAATCTCAGACATTAGAAGGAAATCAGAGTTGAACTCCCTAAAGACATTTTAATGAGGCCAGGATCAGGGGTCTTTGAGTGCAAAAAAAATTTCACAGTGATTTATTTTCTTTTCTTTTCCTTGGTTCTTTTATAACAAAGTCAATCTGTTTTGGTTGGTCATGTGAATTCTCACTGATTGCTCAGGATGTTTCTGATATTCCAATAATTTCTGTTATATGGAAATGTTGTAATGAAGCGTTTAATCTTCTGTGCAGACTCCAGGATGAAATAGACATGCAGACTGTAATTGTGTAACAGAAAAACTGATACACTAGTATCAAGACAATATTAACAAAGCAAAAGATTTGAAAGCAAAACGGCAAACAATACAACTACACAAACTAAGCTGTCAATGAAGGAAACTAAGCAAATTAAAAACAGCCAACAACACAAAAAGGGTTGTACATTCAATCATCCAGGTAGAATACAACTAAAGAGGTTAAATTGTGTCATCTGGACCGGTTTCTTTAAGTAAGAAACATTTTGCCCCCCCATCCAGAGGACTTCCTCAGTCTGCAGCCTGCCAACCAGATCTGTCCCATAGGTAGCCTTCACTGCTGTGTTTCAGGCCAACATCCTGTTGGAGCCAGCCTGACCTTAGGCTGTTTCTGTGAGTAGCAAGTTGGCCATCTGGCCTAAAATATTTGATTGTTGTACATGATTATTGATTGTTTTGGATGGGTGTGTTTTGCACATGTTAAAAGCCTACTTTTGAGATTCCAACAGGAGACTGGCTTGAAACAGCAGTGGAAGCTACCTACCTGCTTGGCAGGTTGTAGACTGAGGAAGCTGTATGGATGGGGGACAAAAAGTTTCTTACTTAAAAAAACTGGTCCAGATGACACGATTTAACCTTTTTATAGCGAGCAACACAGCTATACTAAACTAAACCAAACTAAACACAGTCATTTACACAACTAAACCAAACTACACACGGTCAATGACACAACTAAACCAAACTAAACACAATCAATGTCACAACTAAACCAAACTACACACAGTCAATGACACAACTAAACCAAACTACACACAGTCAGTGACACAACTAAAGCAAATTGAACAGTCAACGACACAACAAACCCAAACTAAACACGGTCAATGACACAGCTAAACCAAACTACACACAGTCAATGACAACTAAACCAAACTACACACAGTCAATGACATATGGAACTAAACCAAACTAAACACAGTCAATGACATATGGAACTAAACCAAACTACACACAGTCAATGACACAACTAAACCAAACTACACACAGTCAATGACACAACTAAACCAAACTACACACAGTCAATGACACAACAAAACCAAACTACACACAGTCAATGACACAACTAAAGCAAATTGAACAGTCAATGACACAACAAAACAAAACCAAACACAATCAAAGGCCCAAAGAAACCAAACTACACACAGTCAACGACACAACAAAACCAAACTACACACAGTCAATGACACAACAAAACCAAACTACACACAGTCAATGACACAACTAAACCAAACTAAACACAGTCAATGACATATGGAACTAAACCAAACTAAACACAGTCAATGACACAACTAAAGCAAATTGAACAGTCAATGACACAACTAAAGCAAACCAAACACAATCAAAGGCCCAAAGAAACCAAACTACACACAGTCAACGACACAACAAAACCAAACTAAACACAGTCAACAACATGACTAACCCAAACCAAACACAATCAAAGGCCCAAAGAAACCAAACTAAACACAGTCAACAACATGACTAACCCAAACCAAACCTAAAAAATGTTAGGTTGATATTTTTATGCTGCTACTTTCTGTTCATGAATATCTGGGTGAATAAAAGAATGTCAACAGTCAAACATCAAGACATTTTCTTTTAGGTAAAAGAGATTTTCTCCAGTTTGTTTCTTTCTTCAGAGCTGAGTGTTTTCTTTGGAAGACATTGGTTCTGGAGCAACATCCAGAAAGTTTCACCAAACTTCGCACATACAGCTCCATATTTGGTAGTGTACAGCTGTTGTTCTTCAACATTGCAATCAAAGTGACTCCTAGTCTCTCTGTGTTTTTCTCCGTCAGGCTCACTGAGAAGCTGGAATGACTGCAATTCTGAGATAAGCGATAAGCAGGAAGCAGTTTTTTACCATCTAATGAAGTCCTGAGGGAGGAACAAGAGTCTGACAGCCCCTTTAAGACCACTGCATTCAGTTATTCATGATAACAAAGTCCAATGCTAACAAGGGTTGCAGAGAAAATGTGAATATTTGGAGAAAACACTGAACTTGAATCAGGTTTGGACCCATATGAGGCTTCCAAACGAAGACCGGACCAGTAGTCCAGCAGCTTTCTCTGCCCATTCCTTATTATTTTTCTTGATGTATTGTGTTGTATAGTGTAATAAAAAAAAATCACAAGTCATTTTTAGACTTTATAGATGAATAGAAACAATTTAAAACTGTACTAAAGGTCTTCGGAAACCTGTACAGGTGAACTAAAATACATTTAACGAATGAATACCATTTGTTGTTGTGTACAGGCAGAATGAGCAGACGGTGGTTAGAAGTAAACAATTTGTTTACAAGATGCTTATGTGTGATTTATTTTTGGAAATACTGCAGAAGTAGATTTTGTCTTCACTACCGTAAAACTAAAATGAAATAATGTCAAGGTCTCAGAAAAACAAGAGGACAGGTGGAAACATTTTAGATCTAAAGTCAAGTAAAACACAAGATTAGAAAACTAATGATACATGTATCCTAGGGAATTTCAAGATTGCAAACTGAAAGAAACATTTGCTGTGAATGTTTGTGACCAAAGAAGTAAATTTGACTTGACTCCGTAGAGGGTCAAACTCTTTCGGCTCACTTCTTAGGAGCTTTTCGGCTGGGGTTCCAAACGAGCCGAGCCAAGCCGAACTGCAGATTTTGATTTCAGAAGACTAAAAAAAAGTTGATTATCAAAGTGAACAAGTCACTGGATTCAATTAAGTTTATTAATTTTTTATATAGTGCTAATTCACAACAAATGTTGTCTCTCAGTGTACTGCAGAAAACAATCTCTCACACTAAAAATGCTAATTGGTAAAAGTTATCTAGCTAAAGAAACCAGCAGATCGTGTTGAATCTCCAGTTTGTCACAGTCTTTCATCCTGAGCGGTACACAGGTGACAGTGGAAACGAAAAACTCCCTTTTAACAGGAAGAAACCTCCAGCAGGAGGTTCAGGATGGGTGGCCACCTGCCTCGACTGGCTGAGGAAAGATGTGATTCAGGAAAGCAATAACGACAAGACACAGAATGGCTGGTCCAGGAGTACCATCTATGAGGAGAAAGACACAAAAAACAAAAATGTTAATGAGGGATATTTGGAAAAACAAACATGAACAGTAAAGCAGGTAAAGACAGCAGCAGAATGTAGAAATGTCATAAAACTGACTGAATTACAGATATTTTAGTGCCATGTGAGGTCAGCTGGTTGTGTCAGACATTTTGGATTGTGTTGGTTCAAAAATTGAATCTGTTGTAAATATACATCTAGTGATTGTTTCCTAAAGGTTTTTATTGAAATAACTAAATAACCCAGATTATGGGTAAAATGACTAAAATGTGACATGAAATAACAACATGATAACTGTTAAATAATAGAAAAAAGCTACAAGTAGTGTATTTTAAAATAGTATGCCAAGCAGTATACCTTTTTCAGTAATTTAGATTCTATGCATAAAAAAAAAATCAGATTTTTGATTGTCTTTCCAATTAATGTTATTTAGAGTTCTTTAATTGCAATTTTTTTTTTCAAGATACTTGTGAGAAAGAATGAAAGGGTAGACGTTGGCAGAGGTCATCAAAGTTTAGTGGTGAACCATGATTTTTTTCTTTTGGCTGCTTCCTTTGTACGAAGACGTGGCAACTGTTTTTACGCCAGATACCCTTTCTTTACGCAACCACAGTCCTCTGTGCGGGGCAGAGAGCTGTGAGCTAGGGTGCATGGGGGAGTAGATGGTGGGGTTAAGGGTCTTGCTCAAGGGCCCAGAGTGGGGGTGAAAGCAGGTGAGAGTGTTTCACCTTTCTCACCCACATATTGTTGTCCGTTCGGAGAGTCAAACCGACGACCTTCAGATCACATGATAACCGCTACCCCACTAATCCCCCCCAGAACGTGTCAATTTTTGACAGTGAACTAACAACACCCTGAATTTAAATGCCAACCCAACGCTAAACAGAACAACAGGGACAATCCATCTAAACACAAAACC